TGGGGTCACTGCTTCGTCCTCACCCAGTTCTCATGGTTGCGAACAAGGACGGGAAATGCGACCACGGCCATCTGCTTCCTGTGCTAAGAGAAAGGAAGTCCCAAAGAAAACAGCACGTTAGAGGAGCTGGGGCGGGATGCCCAGGACTGCCCACTGGGACAGGACTCCCGCAGCCCCTCGTCCAGCTGGCAGCCCGGCTGAGCCCAGAGGAGAAGGGAACACAGCATTCTGCCTGAGCTGTCTGCCAGCGCCAGGGCTGGGTGGGGACACAGAAGGGGTCCCTCTGCCCACTAACCCATTTGTTCCCTTCTCATGGGGGCCAGGGGGTGGGACACGGGCAGGGCACCTGGAAGGGAGCAGGGCAAGTGGGTCCACCCAATGTTGGGAGGAGAGACAGAAAGCCTGCCTCCAAAGGCCAAAGGGCAGGGCCCAGAGGAGCCCTCCCAACCCAAGGGACAGCAGCTCGGAGCTCAGAGCAGCCCCCCAGGGACAGCTCCGGGGTCAGAGCAGACTCCCCAGGGACAGCTCCGGGGTCAGAGCAGCCCCCCAGGGACAGCTCCGGGGTCAGAGCAGCCCCCCAGGGACAGCTCCGGGGTCAGAGCAGACTCCCCAGGGACAGCTCCGGGGTCAGAGCAGTGACCATGGCGTTCACCCCTGGCGTCGGTGGTGCACCAGTGCCTGGCAGCCGGCACCCAGCCAGCCTCCACGGGGATACTAGGAGATGGGCTCCGTGTTTCTGCAGTTTCTTCTCTTCGGAAGAGAGAACTGAGCACAGAGAGGCCGAGCCTCTTGCCAAGGTCCCTCAGCCGGGAAGAGGCCAGTTCAGCCTGGAGGCCCGGCAGGCATCTCACTCCTGTGAGGCAGACTCAGGGTCACCACAGGTGCATGGCCTCTGCAGGGCGGGGCCCCATCCACGTCACACTGGAAAAGCCGGGAAGCCGCAACAGCGTCTGAGCTGCAGGGCAGAGCCCTCACCTAGGGCCACCAGGCTCCGGAAGTTTCCAGCATCAGGCTCTCCAGGAGGGCCCTCTGGGGGGCCGAGCGCCTGCACGGGCCCAGGGTGAAGGGCCTGCTCTGGGGGGTCCCGAGGCCTGAGCGCCGAGGCCCGGAGGCTGGCCCACCGCCCGGGGCCCTCACGCGCCTGCTCTCGTCCAGAAGGAGGCACCTCACAGGGCTGCTGCCGTCGCGGCCGGGTGTCTGAGGAGCTGCCGGCTCCGCGGGCGTCCTCTCCTGCCTGACCAGTGCGGCTAGAGGCCCTTCACCAGCGCTGGGCCCGTTGGAAGCCCACTTCCGGACTCCTGAGAGCGGGGACGCGGGGCAGGAGAGGGAGCGGGGAGGGCTGGGGTGAGGGGCTCCGGCGAGGCCCCCAGACCTCCATATGGGGGGCCCTCAGCGGGGCGGGCAGGTGGGAGCCGCAGGCCGCGACAGCACAACCTCTGGAGGTGTGAGGCAGGCTCAGGGTCACCACAGGTGCATGCCCTCTGCAGGGCGGGGCCCGCCTGGGGGCGGGGTTTGCAGGGGGGCCGAGGACAGCCTCCGCCGACAGAGAAGGTCTGCACACAGGACCTGGTGCTCGGAGCTTGGCTGCCGCTGCCATGGGGCTCGTGGGGGACACAGGCACCCGAGGAGCAGACGGGCCGAGTGCTGAGGAAGCCAGCAGGAGCGGGCGACCCTGCCTGGCCACCAGCTGTGCTCACGAGGGCCGCAGGCGGGGCCCAGGGCTGGGGAGCGGAGTCTTGGAGTTGTGAGCCGTGCTCCAGCCCTCCCCTGCCCACCGCGACCCACCCTGCACCCCGTCTGCCTGCAGGTCCCCCGGCCCTCCTCCCCCACCTCCACCACCCTGGCAAACACCTCCTTTAAATTCAGTTCAGGGCTGTTGCCCCCGTCTGGGCCCCCCACAGAGCCCTGTCTCAGCCCCTTGCAATGGGCTGAATTGGTGTCCCCCAAATCCACATGCTGAAGTCCTAACCCCATGACCTCAGAACGGGACTGTGTTTGGAGATGGGGTTTTTAGAGGCGATTAAGGTACATGAGGTCACAAGAGTGGCCCCAAGCCAATCTGACTGGTGCCCTTATACGAAGAGGAGGTCAGGACACAGACACGCACAGAGGACTGATTATAGGAATTGGGTCACGTGGTCCTGGAGGCCGAGGAGCCCTGCAACCTGCTCTCTGGAAGTGCGAGAACAGGAAAGTGGTGCGGTAAATTCCCTCTGAGTCCAAAGACCTGGGAACCAGGAGCCCGATGTCTGAGGGCGGGAGAGGATGGACAGCCCAGCTCCAGAAGGGAGAGAGAGCTTGTCCTTCCTGACTTTTTGTTCCATCTGGGCCTTGGATGGACTGGGTGGTGGCCACTCACCTGTGGGGTGGTGACCTTCCTTTCTCAGGCCCGCCATTCAAATGTCAAGCTCTTCTGGAAACACTCTCAGAGAAACACCAGAAGTCATGTTTTGCCAGCTACGTGGGCACCCCTTTTAGCCCCGTCAAACTGACCCATAAAACTGACCGTCACAGCCTCCAACAGGGACGCAGCCCCGTGACACCTTCTGACCTCCAGAACCGTGAGATAATTCACGGGTGTGGTTTTAAGCCCCTGAGCTTGTGGTCATTTGTTTCGGCAGCCGTGGGGAACAGGGGCAGTGATCCAGATGGGTATGCCCTCCGCCAGCCTCCTGGGAAGGCGTAGATGCGCTGTGACAAGGCCTGGCTGTGACCGTCTGCTGACACCTCATGCTGGGCTTGGCCTGGGGACCCAGCTGGGTCTTGGCCGCCATCTAGCCAGTTCCAACCTCTGACTCAGGTGCCCTGGCGCCACTGCCCGCCTGGCCCGTGGCCCCCTGGGAAGGCGGCCGCTGTCGGCGGGAAGCCCCCAGCTGGGTCCTGGACCTGCCACCACCAGCTGCGTGACCTTGCGCAGAAGTGTCACTTCCATCGGATGGACTGTTGGGTGCCAGGACAGGGAGCTGGCTGGGCAGCGGGGAGGGGCGGTGTTTTGGGACCGGGTGCCCAGCAGGCACGTCAGGTCCCCGCCCACAGCTGGACCTGCCCGCTCAAGGTACCACTTGCTTCCTCCTGTGCCCTCGGGCAGGGGCATGTTAAAGCCCCAGTGAGGGGTCAGGGCTGTGCTTTCTGCTCTCCAGGGCGGGAATCAGGGGCCCAGCTGCACGCAGTGCGCCCGGAGCCCAGAGAAGAGGCTGTCGCCAAAGCAGGAGCCCAGGGCAGGCCCTTCAGCCAGTGGCTTCAGACTGAGCCCGACCTGGCTCCCTCCTGCTGCCAAGGGCCGTGAAGGAGGTCAGCTCCAGAGGTGCACGGTGGGGCGTCTGTGCTCTCAGAGCTCTGGGGGCTTCAGGGCGGAGGGTGGAAGGGAATCCTGTGAATGCGGGTGATGGCGCCCAGTGTTTCTGCAGCGGGTGGGTGTGGCTAACGAGGCTTCTTGTGATGGTAAAGGACTCGGGTGGGGCGTCTCCCATGAGCTTGCACTCGCAGGTGGCACACAGGGGCAGGGCGTGAGGGTTGCCCTGACAACAGTAGCTTGCTGAGCGTTTATTCTCTGCCAGGCATGGGTACAAGCAGCCCCCTCGGCGGTTCAGTCAGTTCTCACTGCAGACCTACGGGGAGGGGTCTCCTACTTTCCCACTTGGCAGGTGAAGAAGCCCAGCTGCAGGCGAAGGGGCTCACCCGGGGCTGGAGCTGGAGGGTGTGGGCCTAACATTTGAACCCAGGCAGTGTGACCCCTGAGCTCGGCTCTTATCTGCTATGCTTTCTTAGGGACTGTGTGTGCAAACGTGTGTCCACAAGTGTGTGTGCGAGTGGGAGTACGTGTGAATACGTGCATATGCATGAGAGCGTGTGAGAATGCAAGAAACAGAGAAACCCAAAATAACTAGCTTCAAGATGGCAGAGATTTATTTCCCTCCTAGGTAAAGGGGTCCTGAGCTAGGCAGTGCAAGGCTGGTGTAATGGGTCCAGGCCCCTTCCTCCATGCTGCCCTGCCATTCTCAGTATGCTGCCTCATGGTGCAAGGTGGCTGCTGTGCTCCAGCCATCATTCCAGCCACAGGAAGGAGGAAGGAGAAGAGAAAGATATGCCATCTCTACCTAAGGGATTTTCCCCCCATCCCCAGCTAGGCCTTGATGTTTCCATTAGTAAGGAAAGGGGAGAATGGAAAGTGGGAGACTATTCTGCCTGCTGGGATACTTGACAGGCAGGATAGAGTTCTGGGCTTCCCAGCCCAGGGGATGTTGAGCTGGTGGGGATCAGGGGTCCTCTAAGCCTTGTTCTGTACTGCTCTGATGGGGAAACTGAGGCCCAGGCCCAGGCCTCCTCCTTCCCACTCCAGGGCTCTGTCCTGTCACCAGTCAAGAAGGCCAAGTGCCCAGCAGCCAATGACACCAGCCTAGCCAGAGCAGACACTGGGGAAGCCGAGGTTCTCCTACCCGGCCCCCTCCCACTGCTCCCCTCCTCTTCTCCTCAGGAGCCCAGAGGCCATGTCACTCCTCCCTGATACTGGTGGCCTGACCGCCCCATTCACTGCCCCTATGCCCCCAGCACCCACCAGGCTGAGCGATCGGCTGCAAAGTCCCATCTCAACCACCCCTCCAGCCTCCCTCTCTTTTCTCTTCTTCTTCCAGCCCCTCATCCACTCCACCCTCAAATCCCAGCATCCTCCCGGGGTGGAGGGCCCTTCCTCCTATAGGCCAAGGAAGCCTTCCTCCCAAAGTCTCCTCCCCCAGATGGGCTGCCCATCACCTGGATGGAGGTGTTTTGTTGGTGGGAAGTTGGGGAGCAAGTTGGGGTGGTCTCCCCCCAGGCACATGGTGAGTGTTTTCTCTGCCAGGGGCGGGAGCTGGGTGGACCCACCCTGTGAGCAGCTGAGGTCTGGACCTAAGGCCCACATGCTGGCCATCGTGCCACACACAGGCAGGGAGAGGAGGCCAGGGCGCTAGATGGGGACACTGAGGAGAGGCAGACGTGGCTGTGAGGAACCAGTGCTGGCTGGATCATTACAGACGCTTCCAGTTTATTCTCCAAAGCTGGGGTGGGGGCAGGGGAGGGGAAGGGAGGGGAAGACAGTGGGCAGAGTGCTGACCAGCCAGGGTATAAGCAGGGCTGGGGGTGGGGGTGGGGGTGGGGGTGGGGGTGGGACCCCCCCCACTCAGAACACCATTGCCTGAAGGCCGGCGAGGAGGCTGAACAGGAGGGCGGTGGCCATGGTTGAGGGTCTACCCTGGGGGCCACCTGCCCCGCTTCCCTGGGGGTCCTGCCAGGGCGGGATGTTGCACAGGCTGGCCTGGCAGCAGGATATGGTCGTCAGGGATCCATCCACCGTCCTGCTGATGGGTTGACATGTGTCTGCACACCACCCCGAGTAGGTGGTCCGGGGACCTGACTCTGGGTGGGAAGGGGGTGGTGGAGAAAGTGCGTCACACTGTAGGGACGAGGCCCCGCACAGACGTGGGAGACGGGCTCCTCCCGTCCGGCTGCCCCGGGGTGGCCTGCTCACCAGTATTCCAGTGGGAGACGATGGTTTTGCAGGTCTTGGGGAGGATGCAGCTCTGCATCTGTCTGCAGCTCTCATCCCGGTGCAGGGACTGGCAGGAGTAGCACCGCAGCTGCACTGGGAGGCCGGGCAGGCTCAGTCCCCAGCGCGCCCCCGCTCACCCAGCCCCCCACCTCCGGCCTCTTCACCTCGGAGGCCTTTTCCCAGCTCCTGTCCCACTCACGCATCCTCAGCTGACCCCCACGAACCCTGCGCCCCTGCCTCAGGACTGGCCCCTTTCCCTCCCCTAGCCCGGCCCCACCAGTGCCAGGCTGCTCATGTCTTTCTGAACAGGACTCCACACCAGGGCCTGTGACTCTCCGGTCTCCCCATCCCGGGCTCCGCTGTGCTGCTGTCCTGCCTGGTGAACTCTCTCTAACCTCTCTGCCGCGACACCACTGTCCCTCCCAGGAATGGCTCCTTCTCTAGGCCTCCCTACTCTGGATGGCAGTTGAGGGTCACGGTCAGGGTGAGAAGTGAGGGTGTGCTGAGTGTCAGGGGCCCCTCCTCCCCCCTCCCCCCACGAGGGGAGGGATGCTCACAGGTGGAGGCCCTTGCCTGTCGTGTCCTCACCGTCAGCCTCGCGGACCCTGGCCCTCGGCAGTGCCCACGCATGTGTTGGAAAAGGGGGACAAGTGGCCCACCGTGGGGTCGGGGTGGGCAGGTACCTGTGCCTCTGCTGCCTGCAGTCACGCTGGCCTCGTCATCCTCCTCGTCGTCGTCCTCGTCATAGCCTTCAGGTCCAGCGTCCATGTCATCATCCTCGACCTCCTGCGTCCGCCCTCTGCCTGGCCGCGCAGGGACGCCTGTAAACCTCCACTACCCGGGCACAGAGGACACATGCTCGGGGTCCAGTGCCACGCCCCCACCCCTCGATCCATCAGCCCCCTTGCCAGTCCCTCTGTCCTCCCCGCCGCCTCCCAAGCTGGTGAGGTCACTGCCTGGGTCTCCGAGCCCCGGCCCTGCTTCCTTACCTGTGTGTTCCTTACCGGCAACACTAGGGGGTGTGTGCTGGCCCTTTACAGCAGCTGGCCCGTAGCCGTCAGGATGGCCTGTCCATTTCACAGAAGAGGAAACTGAGGCTGGGAGAGGAGAGGGCACCCCACAGCCTGCCTCTCTGAGCGGCTGAGCCTGGGGGTGGGTGGGGAGGGAGCCCGTGCCCCCAGGGCCTGGCTGGGCCGGGGCTGCAGGTTCAGGGACCCGTGGGAACCCACGACAGCCCCATCCACCTCCCTGTGGCCTCGGCCTCCAGCTGCATTCCCTCTTTCTTCCCAAGCCATGTCTTGCCCCCAGGCTGGGTGATCCTGGGGGTCCTGTGCGCCTGGACTATGCTGTCCTTCGCGCTGCAGCGTCTCCCCTCGCCCCGAGTACCTGGCTGCCCGCACAGCAGCAGAGCCAGCAGGACAGCCACCAGCACCTTCATCCTGCCGGAGCTGCCGCGTCTGCTCACCCGGCTCCTCGCTGGACCTCTGGATTTGTGGGAAGTGGGACAAAGGACATTGCCGGGGGCTTCCCGGAGGCCCTGGACCCCCCAGCTCCAGCCTCAAACAATGGGCCTCACACTGGCCCCCAGGCCAGGCACTGGGCCAGGGATGGTCATTTCCCTCCCTGACTCTAGGGGCTGGGTGGGGGAGAGGAAGTCTTTGTGGTTGGCCTTGGGGCGTCCCGTCACCTGTGTGGCTCTGCCCTGGCCTTGAGGCCTCAGCCCAGTAGTGTGGGCCGGCCAGCCCACTGCCCCCTGTCTGGACCCCAAGGACCCGGGCCCAGGCCACACAGCCCCAGGAGCCTGGCCTCACGGGCCCTCCAGCTGCAGACCACTGTCCAGGCACCTTCAGCCGTGAGTCGTCATCCGCATTCCGGGGGCCTTGTCGAGAGGATTTCAAAGAAAAGCACAGCTGCAGTCCTCCCGCCGGGCCTGCCTGTCCCGCCAGCCCTGCGCTCGCCCACTGGCTGCCGGCTGCCCTCCCTCCCACCTCGGGGCTTCGTCCTGGCTGTTCCCTCTGCCTGGGATGCTGTTCCTGCCAACGTCCACGAGGCTGTCCCACCCGCACAGGCGCTACCTCCTCAGAGAAGCCTTCCCACCATCACCTCACACCCTATCCTCTGGAGGCCCCTGCCCTCCAGAGCGCCACGCCGACCATCCAGGACAGGGTGGAGGCCTCCTGGGGAGCCTCTAGGAGCCTGCCCGTGCTGCGCTGTGTGTGGGCCTGGGCTGCCCCACTCTCCCATTCCTCCCCTGCGGGACGCAGACTGTGCTCGGGGACTGCTGAGAAGCCCCTTCCTGGAGGCCACGGAAAGGAGGGGGCGGGGGCAGGACGCTAGATTGGGGCCTGGAGCCAGGGACGCGAGCCCGCCCACTGTCTACGTGAGCCCGCCCACTGTCTGCGTGGCCCACTCCCTGAATTTGCCCAGCCTGAGTTTCCCCAGTGGGTGGAATATTCTCAGGGACCACCTGCAGCAGAGGTTGAGAGCTGGCTCTGGGGTAAGGCCGCCTGAGCCTGAGCCCAGTCCCCTTTTCCCTGGTTCTGTGGACTTCAGTGCTCTCACAGTGGTCGTGGCCATCAAGAGCCAGTGCCCGCTGGCGTGTAGGACGGCTCCCGTCACAGTCCCCACAGGCCAGCTGGATGACATTTCTCTGAAGTGTCAGCCACCAGGTGTCATCATCCCTCCCCCATTCCTCTGGACCAGTGCACTCTCGCCTTCCAGTGGGCACTGGGCCGGCCTGGCCATCCTCAGCTTCTGCAGGAAGCTGCCCGGCCTCCGTTATCAGCTGCCCCCAGCCCTTCCCCCTCTGGAGGCTAAAATCACTCTCCAGCCAGGGTCTCCCTCAGTCTGGTGCTCACGGCCCTGGACCCGCCCTCTTCATTGCTCAGGCCTGTGTCCACGGCCACCCCACCCAGCTGCCCCCGCAGACCTGGCTTCCTCCTGCAGGTGCTTTGATCTGGGGCCACGGGAGCTGCTCCCAGGAAGGGCTCCACAGGGGTTCCCAGAACTGTTAGGGAGCAGGGAGGCTTCACCCACCACCTGTCCCCCCAGACGGGCCCAGCTCCGCCTCGGCCGAGGTGCAAATAATACTAGCACATTTAATTCACTAAGTAAAATTAAATGTCATTTTACTTGTCCTCAACAACTCTAGGGCTGGGTAATGTTACCATCACTGCTTTACCGACAAGGAATTTCTGCAGAGGTTCAGCCCTACGCTGACTGCCCCTCCCCCCTCCCCACCCACCCCTGCCCCAGGCTGCACCTCACCCCTCCTCCCCCACAGTGGGCGCTGCTCCCTCTGCCGCATCCCAGCAAGGGGGCTGGGGGCTGGTCCCGCTCACGAGGACGCAGTCACATGGCCAGGCCTGGCCAAGGCTGGTGGCCCACAGGAGTGCACGAGGCCCCCAGCCCTCAGGTCAGAGTGATTGTGGGGTCCCCCTTCAACCCCCCCAGACATTCTGGCCTCAGACACGCCTGCTGGTGGAGCTCTCTGACCCCAGGCTTCCGTGACAAGGGCCACCCCTGAAGCCCCCCCGGGTGGGGACATGGCTCCCTCAGACCCCAAGGGCCAGGGTTGAGGGCAGGTGGCCCTGTGGGCACCCGAGGCCCACTTTAGAGCCTCTGCCCTTCTACGTCAGGGCTTTCTCCCTCAGCCTTGCCCACGCGCACCAGCGCTCTTCTTGGGCAGCCTGGGGGCCCAGCTTCCTGCCTGCAGACCCTTGCCTGGTGTGGGTCCGGCCTTGCCTGCTCTGCCCTGCTCGGTCGGGCTGGCTCCCGTGAATGGTCCGTGGGTGCAGCGGGTGTGGGTCCCCCCCTGCCAGGCCTGGCCCCCTCTGGCCGAGTGAGTTGAGTGAGTCACCTTGTTCCTCCTGGCTGGCGGAGCACAGCTTTGTCCTCAGACCTTGGTGCCGGCCGTGGATGGGGCACACTGGCCGTCCACACCCCGTCCGGCCCTGGCAGAGGGGGAGGTGGTAGGGGAAGGATATGAGCCCTGATCTCTCTCTGGGGAGCGGTGTGGCCCCAGTCTGCGCTGTGAACCCACACTCTGGGCCTCTGGGGTCACCACAGTGAACCGGACCCAGACCTGGGGAGGGATGGACAACGCTTCTGACTGAGGGGTGGAGATTGGTGCTGTGGGTGCGGGAAGGGCATCTGCCCAGCCTGGCAGCGCACAGCCACGGGCCAGCGGGGCCTCTGAAGGCAGATGTGGGCTGCAGATGCGCCGGCCCTCCTGCCCCCCTCCCTGTTCCGGGCTCCTTCCCACCCTCTGTGCAGTCAACTGTCTCCGCCTCTGGGAGCAGAGGGAGGGCCTTCCTTCTTAGATCAGAGTCCAGACCGTCCTCCCCGGTGGTCAGAGGGCCATGAGGGGTCTCTCGTGGGCTCTCTCTCTGCTTCTGATGGCCCCCCAGTGACTGGCCAGGCAGGCAGCTCCCAGGGACGGTGATACGGCACAGCCTCTTTCTTTCCTGAAATCCATAACTGAGAAACAGGCACGTGCGGGTGGGCTGGCCAGAGGGAGCCGGCTCCAGGTGGTCTCGGGGGGCGACTCCCCTGCGCCCCGGGACCCCGTGAGGAGACACATCAGGGTGTAAGGAGCCATCTGTTGATTCCAGGCCCCCATCCTCCATTTGTTCAAGCTGCCCCCGTCCCACCTCCACACGTCCACACCCCAGGTTGATTTCCTCTAACCCTTGGACACTCTCGGCCCATCCACATTAACCTCGGAGAGTCTCACCTCCCCTTGCCCCCCAAGCCCCACCACGGATCCCTGGTGTCCGGCGCCAGCTGCGGGGCTGCCTGTGGTACCCCCCCGCAGCCCACGGTGCCTGTCAGCACGCCCTGCTCCTGCACCCTCAGCTTACCCGCCCCCCCCACTTCTGTGAGAAGCCAGGCCTCTGGGGGCAAGGGCCCCGAGGTTGCCGCCCTGCCCACCCTGTGCCCAGCGTCACCCACCTCTGGATGGCCCCTCTTCCGGCCTCCCCATCCCCGGCCTCCTTCTCCTCCCCTGTATCTTCAGCTCCCCTCCCTTCTGTCTCCTGGTTCTTCCTTCCCCCCCCCCAATTTTTTTTAATTGGTAAAATACACATAATATAAAATTTGCCACGTTAACCATTTTTAAGTGTAGAGTTCAGCGGCATTAAGGACATTCACATTGTTGTCCATCTGCAAAACTGAAACTCTGTCCCCATTAAACACTCATTCCCCATCCCCCTCCCCTGCGTAGAGTCCTCGAGGGTCATCCACGTTGCAGCTCCTGTCAGAATTTCCCCCCTTTCAAAGGCCGAATAATATTCTGTTGTATGTGGAGACCACATCGTGTTTATCCTCCATCTGCCGCGGACTGCCGGGCCGCCACCGTGTGTTAGCCACTGCGAATAATGCCGCTACGGACACGGGTGTGCAGACAGCTTTTCCAGTCCTTGCTTCCGATTCCTCGGGGTCTGTGCCCAGAAGTGGGATTGCTGGATTGCATGGTGATTCTGTGTTTAATTTGTGGACTGGTTTCTCTCCTTCTGCATGTAAACACACTCAAGTGTCTCTCACTGAGAAAATAAAAACAAGTCCCTGAAAAGCCACCCTTTTCCTTAATTCTCCACCCAAACTTCCTCCCATCTCCTTCCTTGTGCAGCTCTCGGACGGCGATGTGGGGACATCTCCACGTGCCAGGAGCTGCGCTCTCGCCCACGAGTGAGCCCTGTGACACCACCACGGACCCCCGGCCTCCGCGCCGGCACGAGGGCCGGAGCACCCAGGCTTGGGCTGAGGCTGCTCTGGCCCCGCCCACCGTCGGCCTCGCCCACCCCTGCCTAGGGCTGCAGGCCTTGGTGTTGGCGCCCCCTGGGGAAAATGCGCCGGCGAGGGGCACATCCTGCACGGCATTTATTTCCCGGCAGTAGGGACCCACCTCCCCTGCGCTGAGCTGTTACTGCTGAAAGTAATTTTGTAGGGATTCTCTGCAGCCGGAGAAAGGGATGAAGAAGCTCTTTGTGTCCTGCATCGGGGAGCGGTTACGCGGGCTAGGCGGGGCTGCGTGGCAAGAGGGGGGATGGGGGGGCTTGGCACTCTGTGCCAAGACCTCACGTCTGCACTGCGCCCGCCCCGCGCTGCCCACCCCGCAAGCTCGGACCTAAGACGCCGGGAAGAAAGGAAAGCCACTGATGGCTGAGCTCGGGACGGGGGTCTGCACTTGGCGGGGGGGCGTCACTTAAGTCAAACTTGGCGGCGGGGACGCGCCCCCGCGAGAAGCCAGGGCTGCGGCCCAGGACGAGCAGGCGCCCCTCCCCGGGCCGTGGGCTGGGCCCTCAGGGCCCTCCCGGCCGCAGCGCTTCTCCCGCACAGGGAGGGCAGTGGGACCCGCATCCCGGGACGTCCCACCTGGACTCCCGGCAGGTGTGGTGGCAGAACTTCAGGTATAAGGCTTTTGCCAGCAGTCCTGCTGGGGAAGGGGGTGGTGGGAGAGGGGCGAGGTGAGACCCCTGGGGGGGAGTGGGGAGGAGGGGATGGGGGAGCCCATGGGGGGCCGTGTGGATGAGGAATCTGAGACTCAGGGATGGGCGGACTGGCCGAGGCCCTGAGCTTGGGGGGGTCGAGGCAGGGAGTGCAGCTGGGGTGCAGGGCCCTGCCCACTGCCTGAGGAGCTCGCTGCGTGGGAGGCTGTGGCTCCAGGATCCGGTGGGGCGGGGATGGGGCAGGGGATTCTGGGTGATGGGGGCCGGGACACAGAGAGCCCTGGAGAAGGTGGAACTCAGGCAGCGAGCTGCTTGCTCCCAGGGAGCTGGGGGTCTTGTTATGGAGCTGGGCCCCCTGAGCCGCAGGTGAGAGACTCCAGGGCCCAGACTTTGAAGCAGGACTGGGATGGGAGGGGTCAGTCCCCTTGATCTGCAGCCCAGGCGAGGTCCCGCCTCTGCTCTTATTTATTTATTTATTTATTTTTGCTGTACGCGGGCCTCTCAGTGTTGTGGCCTCTCCGTTGTGGAGCACAGGCTCCGGACGCACAGGCTCAGCGGCCATGGCTCACGGGCCCAGCCGCTCCGCGGCATGTGGGATCTTCCCGGACCGGGGCGCGAACCCGCGTCCCCTGCATCGGCAGGCAGCCGCCCAGCCTCGGCGCCACCAGGGAAGCCCCGCCTCTGCTCTTGCTGGAGCTGCCTCCCTCCTGGACTGCCCTCCTCATTCCCCCAGCCTGGTGCCTCTTCTCATTCTGGGCTCACCAGGAC